AGAAACAGCTTAACAGAGATGCCCAATACACTGGGTTAATGTAACTGTCAAAGCACATATACAACTCTGCAGTGTCAGAGGGGTAAATTACCTTGGCTGTGGGTTCCTTATACACGTGTCTGGCCGTATGTGTACCCAAAGGCCTATACCACAGCTTCAAATCATCACTTGCTCGATGTGTTTATCCCTACATCCCTCTGCACACCCGGATTCAAGTTAAACTGGTTTAGCAACCATCAGTCTAATCACAGTCACCCTCGGCTGGTAGTCAGTGCACATTCAACAGATGGTTACAATTAAGAGTTAGGAATTGCACCCAGAGTTATGTTATTTGCATGGTGTTAAATTCATAGAATGATCTGAGTAGTGGCGACTTTTTACTTTATTAGCACTGTTAAGGACTGTTAAGGGGTCCTCTGAACTTGTCTTTTTGAGTTGTTGTATTTTCCAGAAACACTGAACTCAGAGCATGCTGGAGGGACTCCATGTGTGAAGGATAAAGCCCCACAGGTGACATAATTTGTTGTTTATGTCCCAAACTGGATATCTTGTGTGTCCTTGGGACTCAAGGCAGGTGCCAGTCAGTTTGCACTAGGCTGACAAATTGTTTGTGCAGCTAGGATCCGTGTAGATAAGCAGACCATCCTATCTTCATAGTCTAGCAGTTCCCAAGGGAAAAAAAATGCTAGGCTTTTGCCCTCTCCTGGCTCCTCCTCTTTGGGAGGGGTTTTGTCCTTTTCCTGCCTTTACTACACCTTTCCCACACCCCCTTACCTAGAAATTTGTGTTTCCCCCTCCTTCCTTTGTCCTACTGTTTTAAATATGCAGACCTCTGTACGGATTGTGAACAAGTTAAAGCTGCTCCTGCTAGGAGAAAACAGATCCCTTCTGCTCACCTGGCCTAGTTCGTCACTTCCCTCCTATGGGAGGAAGGGAATATTTTCTTAAAAAAAGAGCAGGGAAAAGGGATTGCCATGCAATTTTATGTTTTCACCACAAACCTGGAAGTTAGATACTCAATGAGGCCCCAGGGTTATTATTCTCGCTGGGCAATTGTGAGTTGTAAACTGTTAATCCAACTTGCATTAATGGTAGTCCTTGTATTGTTTCTTCTGATCTCCATGTGAGCACTTGGCTTGTGTGAGTTCTCTGTAAAATAGTCTTTTAGGCAAATGTACTTTTGGCATTCAAACAACATGGCCTATTTTTGTAATAGGAATAAGCTAGAGGCCTATTTTGGTTGATTACTATAGAGGCAGGAATTAGATTGATTTTGATTACAATAGAGGCAGAAGTTAGATTTAGACCAGCATCTCATACCACATGCCACAATAAGCTAAAAATTGATACAAGACCTAGATATAAAAAGTCGTATCCTAAACAAGTTAAAGGGAAAAAGAAGAAAATGTCTTTTGGTTCCATGGATAAGAGAAGAGTCAGTAATTCAACATGTGATTGAGAAGATCATAGAAGATAAAATGGACAATTTTAATTACATAAGATTAAAAAGATTTTGCACAGATAAATGGAGGTAAAAATTACAAGGGAAAAATTAACAGGAAAATCTTTGCAGCAAGTTTCTCAGATACAGGTCTAATGTAAGAATATATAAGAAATTGATCAAATATAAAAGAACAAGAGCCATTCCCCAATTGATAAATGATCAAAGGATACAAACAGGTAGTTCTCAAGAGAACAAATATAAGCAATCAACACCAATATGAAAAAATTCTCTTGACCAAAAAAATACAGCAAGTCAATATCCTACTGTGTTTATAGTTTGTTGATGACAAAAATGAAAACAAAAAAATTGACTCGGTGGAGCAAAACAGCCTTCAAGATTTTCCTCCACAAAGGCATTCCTCACGTTATGTTCAGATCATGCAAGATTCCTTGCACAACCACAGAGAAAACTCTGTTCAGTGACTAGTAACATCAAGTGAAGCATAAAATAGGGTACTAAATTTTTACACAAGTTGTTTTCCATTGACATGACTGATGTACCAAAGACCAAATGAAAGTGGGATTCCCTACTGATGGCAAGGGCCTTCAGATGATCATTTGTGGATGATTCTGTCTTGATTTCATTAAACCTCATGTTTAGTAGACATTATAAGGACTCCTCAATGTTTACTGAAGATATCGACTTAATAATTCATACATCTTAATAATTCATGCAGAAGAAATGAAATGGATTTTAAAATGCCTATCCTCCATAAATGAAAGGATGAATACTCATTTATTAAGAACTTATTATATGCCAAGCACTATGCAAAGTGCAGAGAAATAGAAAAAGTTAAACAGTCTTTGCTCCCAAGGAAAGATACAAATTAAAACAACTTTAATGTTGAACTGGCCTTGGTCTCTCTCTTGGAAGAGCCCTGACAGATAGGCAAAACCTTAACTTTTAGTCACATGGGCTTCAGGTCTGTCTCACAGAGGTTTAAAGCAAATATTCAATCTTCTTTTTTAAAAAATGAAGTCTTACGTTGCCTTAAGTCCCAAGCTTTCTTTTTAAAAACAATGTTTATTCTGAAACCTAACAAACACCAAATAAAATGGGCATTTTCACATACATAGTATAACAGAAGATGCTATACATGAAACTGAGAATCTCTAGTATATATAGCTTGCTTTTTGTTTAAATATATAAAAAATTCAACATATAACTTTCAAAAACTGTCTTCCTTTTCTATGATTCTTTCTGGACTTCCTGTTCTGTTCACTTCAAAGAAAAAAAATACTTCAATGACATCTTTTCTTTTCTTTTTGCTACTTTCTCCCTCTCCCTTCTTAAGGGATTTGTTGACTAAAAAAGGAAAAAAAACAATCACTTGACTGAGTAGAACAAAAAAGGTTATCCAACAAGATGTTTCTCCTCATATGTCAGAATCATACAAAATTCCTTGAAAGATGTAACAAGAGATAACTTTGACACCCCTTTGATTATTAATACTGTGAAGCACAAAACAGGGAGATATGTGCCCCCCAAAGGGTTTTTTAATCACTTTCATGAAGGATATTCTGTGCTACATGAAATGAAAGAAGGAATCCCCTATAGATGGTGAGCTCCTCCAACTGTTCCTATTTGTGAATGTCATTGTACCAATTGCATTGTCATGGAACTGCAAAACCTCTTAAATAAAATCTAAAATCACTCAAAAGAATTTGACCTAACTTTCCCCACAAGCAAAACCAAGTGGATCAGTAATGCTTCTTGTTCAGACTATGATATGCAATTGAATGGATAACCAATAGAACTGGTCCATCAGTATATATGTCTTGTACCTACACTGTGAATGGACAATGAGAGGGCCTAGAATTGGTCAGAAAGAAGAGAACCAGCTGGGTTGCCTTTGGGAAATTGCAAAGTTCCTTTAATAATGCTCAGCATCTCCCTGAAAGAAACATTCATTATTTTTATCATCTGTATTCTGACAAAGAGGCAGCATAGTTGAGTGGATAGAATACTGGACTTGGAGTCAGGAAGTCCTAGGTTCACATCCTTCATCCCTTCATCCATTCTTTTACTAGTTTATGTCATCTTGGGTTTCACATCTTCTGCTTCCTTGAAGGGCCCAGACCAACCATCCCTGATTCTCCAGACTACAAGGGTACCTTCCCTTCTCCATACACCACCCCCCTTTAGCTTTTCTGCTCCTCTTTTATGTGCTCTCTTGACAGTGATTGTCTTGCTTTTTTTTTTAATCCCCAGCATTTTTTTCTGAAGCAATTGGGGTTAAGTGACTTGCCCAGGGTCACACAGCTAGTAAGTGTCACATGTCTGAGGTCGGATTTGAACTCAAGTCCTCCTGACGCCAAGGCTGGAGCTCTATCCACTGTGCCACCTAGCTACTCCAATCCCCAGCAGTTCTAACAGTGCCTGGCACATAGTAAGTGCTTAATAGTCATGAAAGGGAAATAGTGGAGATATAAAGTTTAGAGGAGGCACCATTCTTGACCTCAAGAAGCTTACAGTCTGGATGCCCATCAATTGGGGAACAGCTGAATAAGTTTTGATATGATTGTGATGGAATACCCTTGTGCTATAAGAAATGATGAACAAGGGGCAGCTAGGTGGTGCAGTGGATAGAGCAACGGCCCTGGAGTCAGGAGGACCTGAGTTCAAATGTGGCCTCAGACACATAACACTCACTACTTGTGTGACCCAAGGCAAGTCACTTAACCCCGTTGCCTAGCCAAAAAGAAAGAAAGAAAGAAATGGTGAGCAGGTTGATTTTAGGAAAACATGGGAAAGACTTGCATGAAATGAAGGAGAGTGAAACAAGCCGGAACCAAGGAAACGGTTGGTTGTTTACCGTAACAGCCGTATTATTCGAAGAATAACTGTGAATGACTAAGCTATTCTGAGTAATAATGAACATTCAAATCAACTATGGAAAGACTTATGAAGTAAAATGCTATCTACTTCCAGAGGAAAACAACCTGATATATGGAAATATTGTGTGGTTCCATTGATATATCTGTATCACATGTCGGCTTTCTCTAAGGGAAGGGTGGGAGGGAGACAAGGCAGAAGTCAAAATGTAATTTTAAAAAGTAGATCTTTTAAAAGAGGCTGGCAGTGTAGGCAGGTGTGTGTAATAGTCCCTGTCACCCTTATTCTCACACCCACACCAAATTCACTCTTCTTATTGCTCTAATCCTGGAAGCCTCACTAGGAAAACTCTGCCACTATTGTCTGCACCCTTGGTTCAGATTCACGAATACTCGGAAAGACGCACCGTCTCCCATTCCCAATATCCGTGAAATAAACCATAATGTTGGGAAAAGGTTTCGGTTCCTCTGCTTTCTCTTCCCCCTTTTCTGGTAAGCTACATCCTTTAGGCGCTTTCCTCTTCGTTTCCCTTTCCATCCCGAAACCCCCGCCCCCGAGACTGCAATCAATTGTCTGCGTCTGAGCTTTTAGGGACTTCTGGGAACTACATTTCCCAGGAAGCCACGCGGCTTTGGGTACCCTACTGTAGGTTCCCTAGAGACAGACTTTGCATCCCAGACTGGATGGGTTGTGGGGCGTCCGAGTTGACGACGATGATTGGTTGTGGATTTTTTTTTTAAGGGAAGGGGGGGAAAAGCAAGATGGCGACAAGCGAGAAGCATCTCAACCCCTAATTGGGGCACCTCCCACCCCCCCACCTCCAGGGCAGCAGGCCGAAGTGGGGAGATACTTTGTGTGGTCCACATTGGGTGAGAAAGGCTCTCCGGAGAGGAGGGCGCGTGAGGGGGTGGAGGGAGTGAGAGAAGGGAGAAAGGGGTCCAGGTCAAAGAGGAGGCAGCTTTGGGAGGCGAACAATTCCTCCCTGGCAGAAGGCCTGAGCGCTGCTTGTTCTTCTACAGGGAACCTCGCGGGCCCGGGACTGTGGACATGCCTGGCCCTAACCGTGACCCCACCAAGCCTCGGCTGTCACCCTGAGGAGGGAGGCTCCTTCTGCCTCTGTGCAGGGTACTCGGGGTCATTCCACCAGCAACCCCTGCTCACCCACCTCTCCTTTGCTCTAAGGGTTAACACCAACATCTTGCCTTCTTTGTAATTTTAAAGGCAAACAGTTTGGCACAGCACATTTTTGGCCAGGGTGAGCAGCTCAAACCTTCTATTAGGCAGGAAATTTTTCAACAGCTTGTCGCATACTATTATCACAAAGGTATTTTGCCCAGCTTTTATAATAACATAAAGTGTCAGTGTGATCATCTTTGACTGGTCACATCCAAATGAAAGTTTCTTACTTTACAACAGGTACCTAAGGACCTAATTCCATTCCCTTTGCTGTGTTATTCTTAAAACAGCAAATTGAGGTCTCTGGAGCCAGGGGGTGACAAATGTTTAGAAAAGAAAAGGACAATGACCTTTTAGAAGAATCACTCAGCAGACCAGTACACACTGAAGATGATCATAGAATCACTCACTATATTAGAATTGGAAGGCACAAGCTGGAGATTTTACTGCAGGTCAGTATCTATATCCTTGGTTTTGCTTCCTGATTATGTTGAAGATAGAATTTTCACTTGCTTATCCCACTGGTCTGTGGCCAACTGTATGCTGTTGTCTCAGATCTCTTCTTCCTCAGGAGGAAACTGTAGACAGATCATTTAGGTACCACCCTATGCCCTTCAGGTAGCCTTAGTAATGTGGGAACTGGCATTGGAGGTTCCTTCACCCCTCCATCTCCCTCCCCCAATTGCAGCTCCTCCTATAGTGTCTGGTATATTTTGAGTGGAGTAACCTTAATAAGTATGGGTAGAACCTGCATATTGACTAGTAGGAATATAAGCATGTCTCTTAGGTAAATTCTTTCTTCTTCAGCCTTCTCTGCTCTCCAGATTCCTGTTCTTCCTGAAGAGGGGGAGCATCAGAGATCAGGAAATAAATGGCTTCTATCCATGCTGGCGGGTCCCAGGTAATGTATTGTTCATGCTTCCTTCTGAAAGCATACCCTTTCATAGTCTGCTCCCAAGGAATGCTGAAATTAATCTGTCCTTTATGGCCAAAGTTATTACATTTGCTCAGAACTCCATGCTCAGCAAGAGGTTGGGGCATTAGTATTAATTTAATTTCCTTTTTCTTTGTGCCTTTTCTCCTCTCCCTTTCCCATTCTGAAATGAGAGGTAACTTGATGAATAGGAAAAGCTTCAAGGTTTGAGTTAAAGTCTTTCTCTTCCACAAAGTTTGTTCTTAAGAAACTAACATCTGAGTATTGCTTGCTGATAAGGAATCAGGGCTAGGAAAGGATCTAGAAGGAAAACCTTGACCAAATGTCCCTCTGAGTCTGAGGACTCTCCCCTAGCTTGTGCTAGAGAATTTCTCAGCAAACTCTCCCCTTTTAGTCTTTATTTTTGTGGAATTAAGATATATCCAAATAATAAATCAACTGTGAAATGTATATTTTACCCCATGCCATCCAAAAATATTTCCTTTTGCTTACTAATTTTGTGGCCTTCTCTTTGATTCTTTGCCCTTACCTATAAAATGAGGGAGTTGCAGTAGATGACCTTTAAGGTCCCTTCCAACTCTATTTTTAGGGGCTTATGAACTGTGACATTAATTATAATACACCACAACATATGTACAGTAGTACTGCTAAATGATTTGGATACCATTAGGCACAGGGGAGTGACTTTTATTGGTGTCCTTTGAACATAATTGTTTACTTTGTCATGTATAAACATGTATATCACATATGAGATCACAGAGCTAGAAGGAATCTTAAAGGTTATCTAGTCCAGATTCCTTATTTTGCAAATGATGGAAGTGAAGCATGAGGCATTTGCCATATGGGAACTGACTGAATAAACTTTATGTTTTTAGCTTGGAGAAAAGACTTGCAGAAGCATGATTGCTGTTTTTCAGATATTTGAAAGGCAGCATGGCTTAATGAATATCTAGGATCAAACAGATCTTTGGAAGTCACTTAACCTTTAAGCATTCTAGGCAAATCAGTGACTACAACAGTGTAAATGGAAAGGAAAAAGCAAAACTAAAGGCTTTGTAATTATAATAACCATGCTTGGACCCAGAGAAGAGTTAAGAAAATACACCTGCCTGCTTTGCAGAGGTGGGGAACTAAAGACATGGAATACTGCATATACTGTCAGATATGGTTGACGTATTGATTTTGCCAAACTGTTTTGTATTTCTTTTTTTAAAAATTCTTTGTTACAAGGGATGGTGGACTGGGTAGGGGAAGGCATAAATAAATAAATGTGATATAAAAAGATATTAATAAATTTTTTTAAAAGAAGAACTGGCTTAAATAGATTTCCCTCACGTGGTGAGAACCGTCTGTACTGAGTTGGGTAGGGGTTGGGTGGGGTGTCTCCTGTTGTTTCAGGCATCTTTGGTGTTCGAGGATTTAGCTGTCTATTTCTCCAGAGAGGAATGTGTGAGTCTGGACCCTTCTCAGAACCCTCTTTGCTGGGAATGTGTGCCAAAGAATTGCAAGGATCTAATCTCATTTGGTAAGGCCTTCTGTATTGAAGAGTCCTGGTGCATCAGAAATTGCAGGGCAATTTGGGATCTGAACTTTAATAGTTTTGGAAAAGAACATTATTCCCAATCAACTTACAAACCAGTTTCCTGAATAGCATTGAACTCGCCCTCGGTTCTGAAGAGAAAGCAGTTTTTATATACCTTGTTCTATATAGTAAGTTCCCCTGGGATCATGGGACTGTAGTCAGAGGGATTTTTTATTTGTGGTTTGATTTTTTAAAATAAGTTAGTAGAAAACTGAGTACATTACTTGAGAAAAACTTCCAGAGTTGGGTCATCTCTAGGAAAATGGTATAAGAGAATACATAACTTTTTGTCTTGACCTGTGATTTCAATGGTGTAAGGAACTCCTGATGAGAAAACTTCATCCACTAATGCAGATTGTCAATTGTTGTGCAACTTACAGTCTTAGAGAGTAGTTTTGAGATAATTAGAAATTTAGTGACTTGCCCAGGGTCACACAACAAGTATATGACAGAGATGGGATATTATATTAATATATTAAGATGTGAAAACTAGGACCAGTAAAAACTGGGCCTTGACTACAGAAGCTTCTTCAGTTTGGGATATTATGTGTTATCATTTTGGGTTGATATTCACCATGAGGGTTCTATGCCTCTCTGTCCTACAGGTGTTCTTGTTTCCAAATGTTCTTGACCAAGTACCCAGAGATATTTATGGTGTTCCATTCCACATTGGGAGAGGCTTTGCCTTTATTGTTATTCTTTGTTTTTATTGTTACTTCTTACAATATTACTTTCCTGGACCATCTTTTAAAAAGATCCAGACATTTTGAATGTTTATTTGTGGGAAGTTTGTTTTTGTTCCCCAGCTACTTCAAGCCTATAAACATCATAGGAACTGGTTACCTAAGCCAACTCTCAAGTGAATACCTTGGCAAAACAAAAATTCTTTTGTAATATGAATAATAAGCCTATGATGTATCTTTTTTAAAAAATAAATTTGGGTTTTTTAAATAGAGTTTTCTTAAAGTGAGGGAATATCTATAGGTATTTATTTAATATTACTACATTGCATCTTACTCAAAATGTCTTCAAGTTACAAATACTATTATTTGTGATGTCTAAAACACAAAGCAATAAAAACATGAAGCAATGGCAATGAATTTAATTCATTTCATATTTATTAAATATCTACTGTTTGCAATGGAAAATAAAAAAGAAATATATGACAAGTTTCTTTTAGTTTTGTTATGAAGACTCAAAAAAAAAGTCAGTATAGAACAAAGTACTAAATAGAATGCAACCAAGTGCTAAAATGTATTAATTAGATAGTAAGTGCAATTGATATCATAAAAAGAAGAGATCAGTAGAATTATTAAAGCAGGTTTCATTGAGGAAGTGATGCAAACAGGCACCAAAAAGTTGAATTTGGATAGCTGGAATAGTTAGGGCAATAAAATGATCCAGTGCATGAATATGAGATCATGGCCATGATCATGGCATTTGGGGAGGTAGGCATTAAGAAGGTGGGTCTGATTGGATTAAAGAATATTCACTGGGGAATAGTGATTGGGAAGTAAAAAAAAAGCCAGATTACAAGTAGCTATAAATGTTAGGATGAGTTAGGACCCAATATATTAAACAATGGAAAGTTATTGAATGTTTTTTGAATTTGACAATAACATGAATATCATTATTTTAGAAAGATTTGTGCTGTGGATATTGGATTGGAGGGACAGAAATTAGAAGAGGCATACCAGATAAGAGGAAGTTGTAATCCAAATATGAGGTGATGAGATCTTGGACCTGGTAATGGGACCAGAAAGATTCAGATTTTGAAGAATCACAGGGGCTTGACAGTTAATATAAAAAATGAAAGTAATTGGTATGATGAGCGTGGGTCATTGATTGTACAATTAGCTGAAATGGGAAAATGAAATGAAATGAAATGAAGAGGGAAGCAATGGATTCTGTATAGTATATTAGATAAATTGAGTCTGAGGTAGCTGGGGCATCCAAGTCAATGTTATCTAGTAGACACTTGGAAATATGATGCTTTTGTCAAAGGATAGACTAGGATTTGGGGAGTCGTTTAGCATTCAAGTGAGAATTGAAACTGTGAGAAAGAATTGACCAGGAAGTGAAAAGAGAAAAAAGGCTGAGGAAGGAGCTTTTGGGAAACACCAAGAATTAAGGGATGAGATGAGGACAGAGAGACTGGTAGCATGGTATAAATAAAAGAGCACTGTTCTTGAGGTCAGCAGATCTGGGTTGAAGTCCTAGCTCTGTCATTTATTTGCTGTGTGATTGTATGCAAGTCATTTCATCACCACCATCCTTGACTTTAGTTTCCTCATCTGTAAAATGAAAGGAATGGAAATAGAAAGAGGATAGTGTAGTATCCGAGAAACTAAGGGAGAAGAGAGTTTTAAGGAAGAATGGATGGCCAGTAGTGTTGAAAGTAACAGAGAACTCAGCAAGAGAAAAGGGGTGATTGTCTAAAAGTGGTCATAGTCACCTACAAAAGGGCTGATTCAATAGAATGAAAACTTTTTTTTTAAATGTCATTGGTTGAGGGAAGGAATAGATAATGAAGAAAAGGGAGTGATGGAGTTAGTCCAGTTTTTCAAGAAGTTTAGTTTTATTTGGAGGGAAAGAAAAACCTATACATGTTTGAAAGTAAAATAAAAAGTGTTAATGAAGAGGGGAAACTGACAATATTGGAGAAGGGGGAAAGCATGAGAGAAAAGTCCCTTAAGAAAAGGAGAAGGCTGATAGCTGAAGCATAGATAGGAGCAGAAGGGAGAGTTGGCTCTAGAAAAGATGACAGACAGTTCTTCCTCTGAGACTAGAGGGAAAGATAAAAATAAAATATTGAGAACAAAGAGTTGTTTTAGTGCTATTGAATGAGGGAAAATTAGTTAAGACAAATATTCTATACCCTCCAGTTAAACTTTCCCGGGAAACTTTTGTAAGACAGATCCCATTCAATTACTTTACTAGTTTTTATATCCAGAGGGTTAGGTGAGATATGTAGTGGTGGGACCATTTCTAGCTTAATTAGACTAAAATCAATTTTATTTGTATCTGCCAGGGCTTGGAATTGAGTAACGAAATACGAATAAAAGAATGGTTATGTAACGGTAAAGGGATAGTGGAAAGTATCCAGTGGGTCTTGGGGTCTTGATTGTATCAGGTAGGGTCTAATGGTGGAGGGTATTACATACTTTATATAGTACTTTGGTTCTTCTTTAATTATTCAGAATTCATCATTTCATTGGTAATCTTTCTAATAAAGCAGGTCACAACCCTGAATAGATATTACTTAAGGGGCAAAAAGTTCATTGCCATCTAGTGATAGACCTTGGCTGAAAGAGGAGGAAAAAGAGAATCATCATCCTATCAAAGTTCTACCATCTCCCTCATCAATTTCTTATCTAAAATGATTAATCATTGCAAGTAATTTATTGGTTTGAGCTGGGGATTTATTTAAAAATAATTTTAGGAACTAGGGAGCTGGTAGAGTTTTACCTGGAGAATTTAACCTGAAGTCCTTAATATATTTAGCTCTATAAGAGGGCAACGTTATAAGTATGAGGAATCCCTAGCACTATGAACCCATCCTTCACTATCTTTCTCTTATTAAGGGGACTCAGAGACATTATGAGTTCATCCAATGCACAGTACACTTGCCCAGGTGTTTTGAAAATCTTACAGATATCATAGAATTATAGATTTAGAGTTAGGAGCAACCTTAGAATCTATTAAGCCCAACTCCCTCATTTTGCAGATGAGGAGCCTGAGGCACCACTGTGCACAAGGTCAAACACCAAGAAAGTGTCTGAGGTGGGGTTTGAACCCAGTCTTCCAGACTTCAAGTCAAGCACCCTATTATCCTGCTGTGTCAAGCTGTGTATTTACATATCCTTCCAGAGATGATGACTCTTAACTACTTACCCTCCCACCCTCATTGGGGTTTTTCATGTTCCCAGAAGATTGCTAATGAAACCTGGTAACTATGACCCTCTCTTAGAAATAAATCCACAAACCAGTGATCCCATGAATAACAGTTCACGTTTACATAATGTTAATAGTTTATCTTAAAAAAAATTATAAGTGCCCGCCATTTCCCTTGGGCGGATGAGAAGGAATGGGCCTCTTTCTCTTTTCTTGTTTGAGAGCACTAAATCCCAGTCCTAACTGGATGACTTTGCAGCTGGAAGAACTTAATCTTTCCCAAATACTGTTCTCTAATGCTGCCCCAGTATAGTCAGGATTCAATATAATTAGAACTCACTTGCAGATTTTTTTGTCTCCACATCAGACATCACATAGGGAGAGGATGGTGTTTGGATTCTCTCTTTGTGTCAGCAGGAGACAACAATGAAAAGGAAGAGGAAAATTTTCAACAAGAAAATCCAGAAAATGGGGAAGTAGAAGCGGTGCCTTCGGAATGGTACAAAAGAGACACTTCCCTGCATCCTAGATTGGGGAGGGAGTGTGAAAACGAACCAAGATTCCCTGATCAGAAAAGGGTAGGTATGTCCCTACCTCAAGAAAAGAGATTTATAAGTCTTTTGATTACAATTGAAAATTCCACTCAGTTTGAAGAACTTTCCCACTTTGTAGGAAGTAGAATCTCTTGTCTCCAAGAACAGGCAGCACCAACATCCTTTAAATGTCTCCTGTGTGATAAAGCCTTTATCAAAAGATCATACCTTATTTCACACCAGAGAAGCCACACGAGAACGAAACCCTATAAATGCACTGTCTGTGAGAAAAACTTCAATAAGAAGTCAAATCTCAGGGCTCATGAGAGAGTCCATACAGGGGAAAAGCCGTATAAATGTGATGCTTGTGGGAAAAACTTTGCTCAGAGATCCAACCTTGTTGCACATGAGAGAATACATAAGAAATCCCAAACATATGAATGTGCTAATTGGGGGGAAAACTTCAGTCGAAGAACACATCTCATCCAGCACGAGACCATCCACCTAGTAGACAATACTAATAAATGTGATAAATGTGGAAAAAGCTTCATTTGTAAATCAAAATTTATACAGCATCAGAGAACCCATACAGGGGAAAGACCCTACGAGTGTTCAACATGTGATAAAAGATTTAGTCAGAAATCAGATGTTTTAATTCACCAGATAATTCATACTGGAGAGAAACCTCATAAATGTACTGAGTGTGGCAAAAGTTTCACTCAGAAAACAAATCTTGCTAGGCATAAGAAAACGCATATAGGACAGAAACCCTATACATGCATTGACTGTGGGAAAAGTTTTGGTATGCTTTCACATCTTATTACACATCAAAAAATCCACACAGGAGAGAAACCACATAAATGTAATCAGTGTGGCAAAAAATTCATTTGGAACTCAGATCTGATACACCATCAGAAAATTCATACGGAAGAAAAACCTTATAAATGTCTCATATGTAAGAAAAGATTCACTAAGAATTCAAATCTTGCTGCCCATCATAAAATTCATACAGGAGAGAGGGCCCATAAATGTAACAATTGTGAAAAGAGCTTCAGTCGGAGCTCACATCTACTAACGCACCAGAGGATCCATACTGGAGAAAAACCTTATAAATGTCTCATGTGTGAGAAGAAGTTCAACTGCAGTTCAAACCTCATAACTCATCAAAGAATACATACAGGAGAAAAACCATATAAATGCACAATGTGTGAGAAAAGTTTTAGTCGCAGCTCAGATCTTGTTAATCATGAGAGAACCCATACAGGAATAAAACCATTTAAGTGTGCTATATGTAAGAAAAGTTTCAGTCGAAGTTCTCACTTGGTAACTCACCAGAGAATCCACACAGGAGAGAAACCCTTCAAATGTGTAAAGTGTGGGAAATGTTTCAGTGATAAATCGTACTTCAGTTACCATCAAAAAATCCACCTGCATTAGGACTGAAGAAGTGAAGACTGTGTTCTTTTAGTTGGCAGAAGTTACTGAGATGAATGGAACTAACCAGTAACTCAGCAAATGAGATTAGGATCTGAAGACTGAATGGTTTGGGAAATGTAAAGATGAAGTTTAATGTTCAGTTGTATAAACAAATATTTTTCATTTGTATTGGTGTTAGTTAAAAGATGAATTGTTCAAGGTTAATGACACCAGCCTGAAGAGAAAAGATGCAACTGCCTTTCATTATTAATTCCCACAAAGTTGTTTTATTCCTCTCCCTTTAATGCCATTGTGTTTCTTATGGTTGTGTTGTGGGATGTGTAAGGCAAAGAAGCATTGGGATTGAATGAATAAAGAATAAGTTTCTTAAATTGGCTGAGAATACCAGTTTAGTTGGAAATAGATAGAACCTTGGTGAACAAGATTAGAATTTGAAGACTGAGTGCCTCGGGCAGTGGAAAAATAAAACTTAAAGTTCAGATTTATGAATAAATTTTATATTTGTGTTGGCTGGTCAAAACATCAGATGGATTTTTCAAGGTAAATGATATTATCTTGGTGGAAAGTGAAGGGGCTAAGTTTTGTCATTGTCCCCCACAACTAAAATTGTTCCATTGTCCTTTGAAAACAATTTTGTTTCTTCAGGTTACATTCTGAAGTGGTGAACATGTCATTCTCTAGCCTACTTAACTCCAATTCAGTAATATCATTATTTGGTGAGAGTTCCATTTTTCAAATATTTACAAACTATCATTCTGCTGCCCTAATCAAAAACTAAGTGGGATACATGATTATAAAGTAATGTAACTCATTTCTTTTTTAAACAATCAGGCCACAACTTTGAGGTTTCAATGAGTGTTGGAACTTGCAAAGTAGTTCCCCCTTGGAAGCTACAAACATATTTCATTGATGCTGCTATTGTTCGAGGCATATGTGGAACTCCTCTTTGGAGACTGGATTTAGAGCCCCTCACATACTACTTTTAATATTGCAATCATCCTTTGAATGCGGATTTGTTTTTTTGAAACAGTCAAAATTTATTCTGAGCCAAGAATCATGTGACCTGATTCTTGGGTTTAAAAAACAAAGTCTGACTAAGAAGTAATAAGACTAACTTTCTGTGTGTGTGCTTTGAATGGAGTTCCCAAAGAGGATTTGCTAAAGTGTTTTGAGCAGCGTCATTGGAATAAGGATATGGCTTCTCAAAGGCACTGCTGTGAAGACAACCTTCCTGTTAGGGGATCAGAGAAGCAGTATGACATAGTGGAAGAAACCCTGGAGTCAGAATAATTAGGGTTTGAGCCCTGGTTCAGCCACTTACAAGTTGTCTGTGGGCAAGTAACCTCACCCTCTGGGCTCTGATTTCTCCTCACTGTGAAATGGGGCTAATACCTTACAGCCACCTTACAGGGCAGTTGCAAGGAAACAGATTTGTAAACTATTAAGTACTCGAGGGGGGTTATTTTGACGAGTAGAAGTTGTACAGTCTTTCCTAAATTAGCCTTCTTATTTAGGAGTCACACTCCTTTTTCAGTTTCTTTGGTCTTTTTTTTCATAAATGAATCCCTTCAGCTCCTTATCACTGTTATGACTTCTCTTTTTCCCCGTTCTTTTGTTTTATGAGAAAGGAGCACCTCAGAAGTCTCTGCTTTGAAAGGTCTTGTCTTGAAGAGCAGTCAATAGAGAAGCAAAGGAATATAGCCACTTCTGGATTAATTACATGGGGATTGTCCTTAGTTCCAAATTATACAGATATTTTTGTTCAGATGCAATTGAATAGTTCCCTCTATATGGTGGTGTCTGCTCCTCAAAAATCTCATGTAAAGTTAGATTACTTTAACTGTGCTAGTGGAGTTTTGCCATTCAAAGAAAGGCTCTGTGTGTGTGTGTGTGTGTGTGTGTGTGTGTGTGTGTGTGTGTATTAATGTGAATGATCCTCCTCCTCAATCCCTGTCATTTAACTTTTTTAAAAAATAAATCTAAACATCTGTATATTGGATTTACTTAAAGGTATACTTGTATTGTGTACTCTTCATCACTACTCTTCTTAATGAAATTCTTTTTTTTAATTAACATGACAGGTGCTTTAGTCAGCCGATGGTCCTCAGGTTATTCACTCACGGACCCCTTTTTCGCAGAACAAAAGGACTAGCATCTACCAGAATGCCTTGTACACAGGATAACTGTTTTATTCTGTTTGAATATCAACTCCATCTACTCCTGCTTGCCACAGCAAAAGAAACAAAACTATTTTGATCCCATTCACGGTAATTTAGTAAATGATAAATCTGTTTTCAAAACATTTGTGTCCTTGGTTGAATCACTTAAACCTCTCTGGGCTTTAGGATCTTCATCTGTTACAACCATAATGAGAATAATGGTTTATATATATAAAATGCCTTATAAAGGCATTTCATATAAGGCAAAATGCCTTGTACTTTCTATATAATAGTCTTATAAAGTAAAAGGGTTGGTTAAAATTATTTCTAAAGTTCCTTTCCTTTCTAAAATTCCATGACTGCTTTTGAACATAGTTTGAAATCTTCAATACTCTTTAAGTCTACTTTTTTAAAAAGCAAAAAACAAAAACAAGATACACCCTTTTTTTATTCAGTATTTCAGGTGAGGCTAGGGAGCCATTGCTCTGACCAGTGGCAGTGGTAGAAAAAAACTTTAAACCGTGACACTTAAAACAAAAAATGAAAATATGTAAATACAAATTTACTTCCTAACCTGAGGAAAGGCATCTGTGATCTATCTGTATAATGTAGTGTTAGACTGAATTAAGTAGTATCCAGATCACAGAAAGTAATAGGCACTCTCTACTCTCTTGGTAAATATGAATTAATAATATTATGTTCAATTTTGGGCACCACAATTTAGGAGGAACATTGATAAACTGAAGTTTGTTTAGAGGAGAGTGATAAGGACAGTTTGAGAACCATGTCATAGAGGGAATGGTTGAATTAATAGAGGATGGCTAGCCTGGATAAAGAAAAAGATTCCTAAGGAGAGACATACTATCTTCAAATACTTGAAATATTGTCCTGTAGAAGAGTAAATAGATCTATTTATTGTTCCAAAGGGTAGATGTGGGAAAAGTGGCTAAAAGTTATAGGAAGATAAATATTGACCCATTATGAGAACCAGCAGCTCCAGCTAAAAACAGATGTTTGGGTTTACCCAGGAATCCGTTGACTCTCAGTTACTAAATATATCCAAGCAGAGATGATCATTTGCTAGAGATGTTATAAAAAAAAATTCTACTATATATTGGAGGAAGGTAGGGGGTGGGGGAGAAGAAAGGGAATATGGGCCAGGCACTTCACTAAGGGCTTCTCACAACAATCCTGGGAAGTAGGTGCTCTCATTACCTGTATTTTACAGGCGACTAACCTGAAGCAGACAGAGGTTAAGGGACTTCTCCAGGTTCCTGGCAAATAAGTGTCTAAAGTCATATTTGGACTCAAATCTTTCGGACTCTAGACCCAGTGCTCTGTGCACTCTGGTGCCACCTAGCTGCCAATTTATGATTTGTTGTCCTATGCTTTATATGCTATACTTTATATGAGATGTTAGATAAATAGAATACTTAAGAATTTACTCTGTGTTAGGCACTGTGCTAAGGCACTGGGGGTAGAAATAAAAGCTAGTAAGACAATCCTTTCCTTTAAGGAACTACCTTCTAAAGGCAGAATAACACGTAAGAGAGAACAGGAAAGATTAGGTGGGGCGGGTATGAGGGTGGGTTTGGGCAGAGGTAGGGCATGATAAAGAGGTGACCAGGCTTGGAGGCCTGTTTCATAACAAGGCAAGCAAACACTCATCTATGAGAGCCAGGCAACCCAGGGGCAAAGTCCAAGGTGGGGGAGGGGTGTTGGGGGGCAAGGATGAGGATAATGGAAACAGTAAGGTTTCTTGCAACTTTAGGCTTGTCACCTTTACTTTAGCCTAATGCTTGGAATCATTCTGAGAGCTTCTGAGTAGTCAATTTCCAGGTCCTCCTGAGTTAGATCTTTAGATGTTAGTTTCATTATTTGGTTTGAATATTGTGAATTCTCAGAACTTAAGGACGATATTCAAATGTGAGCATAAAAATACATTCCCAAGCCAAATATGAATAATTTCAAAACTTTTTCTATCATTTCATACCATATATGCCATGGTTGCTTTCTGAGATACTAACCAAGATTTAATAATATGGAATCGGGTGCTATGGTGCTAATACCATGTTATTTATTATAGTATGTCACATAAATATAATATTATGATACAATTATAATGGCTCACATTTATAGTTTATAGCTTACAAAGTATTTTCCTCACAATAATCCAGTGAAGTAGATAGTACAAGGATTATTAGGCCCATTTTGCAGATAAAGAAACTAGAGGTTCAGTGATTTGCCCATAGTCAAACAGACAGTAAGTGCTAGAGCCATGACTAAGCTGGGTTTTCTGATTCCCAAGTCTAGTGTTCTTTTTACAATACTGTGCTGCCTCTCTACCAATTCTATGGTGCCCCTTATTTTGTTGTGTTATATAAGATATGTTATCCTGTAACTGACAATGAGGAAAGGCTAATCATCTGTCTTATTTGATTATAGAAGCATAGATATATGATCTGGAAAGGACCTTAGAAGCCACCTAGTCCAACTCGGTTTACAGATGAAGAAACTGGGGCCCAGAGAAATTTCTTGCCCAAGGTCACATAGATAGGAAGTGACAGTCAAGATCTGAACCCAGGTCTTATGACTCTAAATCTCTCCCTTGTAATCACACTGTTTTCCCAATATCAGTAATCAGGATGACATGAATGATCATAAAAATTTCCCTGATAACAGTGTCAGTTTATGAAAAGGAGAAAATGATCGTGGAGTCCCACATAATATGGATTACAGCTGAGAAGAGCTGGGCATTTGGGAATGGGGAGGTTTGGTGGATCAAGATCGCCCTTCCAGAAGTCTACATGATGCTGATGTCCAGAAAAATTATGGAAAGACAAAATTATAAAAATATTTAAGATGATTTAAAAAAATATTTGGAAAGAGGAGTGGAATGATCAGTACCTATCTACATTTGTATGACTGGGTACATTAATTTTTAGGTAATGATATTTATAGTGCATGAGTAAGACTGCTTTGCAAATAGGTCAAAATGTAAGCTTAAACACTTTGAATTCAATTTAAAAAAAAACAAAAAACCCTAGTAGGTGCTTTGAACAACTTGCTCTATATCTTCCTGTTGAATACCTCTCATTATCATGTGAAAAAAAACAAAACAAAACCAAACACCAGGCTCTGGCTACAAAGAAGTGTGATGAGTCCATCTAGAGTAAAGGATCTTAACCTAGGAGGCTGTGAACTTGTTACACACACACACACACACACACACACAGATATACATACATATATATATATATATATATATATGTGTGTGTGTGTGTGTGTATATATATATATATATGCAGGCATATATTCCTATAACTAATACGATTGATTTCCTTTGTAATCCTATAGATTTTATTTTATGCATTTTAAAATATTCTGAGAAGGGGTTCATAAGCTTCACCAGACTTTCGTGAAAGAAACAAACAAAAGGTTAAGAGTCTCTGACACAGAGAAAATGGAGAAAAGAGTGTAAAAGGTTACTTGGGATTGAGATTGGTGAAGGAAAGTGGCAAAGAGTAAAGAAATCAATAATAATGCTAGTTCACACTTACCTAGTGCTTTAGAAATCACCTTATACGTATTATCTTGCTGGAGCCTCAATAATCCAATGAGATAGATAAGCAAATATTATCATTGTTTATAAGTCATAACTTAAACCCAGATCCTTTAATTCCAGGTCCAGTCCAGGACACTATGCTGCCTTTCCCGAAGCCCAAGAAGACTGAATGTAAATCTCTGCGATTTTAGTAAAACCCAATTTTGGTAATTCTTGATGTAACCCCTACCCTTTTATATGTTATCTCCAATTTACAGCAACCAACCCATTCATGTATCTTTTTTTAAAAAAATGACCAATATTCTTTGAACCCATCCGTAATATGGGTAGGTTTTCTTTGAGGACTGTAGGCCTTTCCATGTTTTTAGAGTATATGTGAAAGAAGGCAGAAATGAGGTAGGGAGATGGGGTCTGAGTAGAGACTTTGCTTGTGGGTTCATCCTTAGTTTTCCTGGAGAGTGAGAGGAGATGAATAGCAACAGTGTCTTTGATCTTTAATCTAAACTGCTACACTTTGTGAAACCACTGAAGTTGAAGAACTAGAATAGAACTCTTGCTCTTCTCTTTTAACAGCCCACCCCCATTCCTAAAGTGAGTCACAAACAAGGGTTTGTGGAATGTTGGTCTAATCTCCGTTAGGAAAAGTGGTAACCTTGAGGGCCTTCGTTACTAAGAATGTGGATAAAATGAAGTTTTATCTGTAATGGGTAGGGGAAACTCATATAATAGGAGCTCAGTAAAGCTCAATGGGGTTCTGACTTTATCCACTATCTGTCTTGAGAGCATCCTCCTTTTGGCAGAGAGGCGATGGAGTGCAGGTGTAGAACCAGGCACACTTTTATCTGAGAGGGACATGTTGATTTGTTTTGATAACTTATTTATTACAAGGGAGGGTTCTGTTGGGATGTCAGTCATTGGGAAATAAGGAGGAGTTTTTAAATCACTGTTCAAAGTTTTTAAAAGGAGAACATGCAGATCAACACTTTCAGTAAATTTTAAATGATTCCACTGCCTATAGGGAATCATGTCTTTTTTTTATTTCTCCAGGGGACATTGAAGAGGTTTTGGGGTGCTAGGACCCCAAAAATGCCAAGGCAAGGATGCCTAGACTGAATTCCCACACTCAAGCCTTCTCTTAGTCAAATGGCAAAAAAAGTTTATTGTAACGCTTTAGCAAAAGGGGGCATTGATCCTTAAGGGAACCTGTGAGAGACTGAGGATGGTGCTGAAGTTTATATGAAAAAGGGGCGTGGGAAAGAA